AACATACTGGCAATAGTGGTGCATGCCTGTAATCCTATCACTTGGAAGGCTGAGGCAAGAGGATCACTATGAGTTCTAGGCCAGCCTAGGCTTCATAGTGATTTCAAAGCTAGCCTGAATTACAGCAAAAGCCTGTCTAAAAAAACTAAAGAAGCCCTGCATAACACCTTCCTAGATAGCAACTTTCTAGATGAAGACCAGCCCACACACCACCTTCTTGGGGCTTTTCTAACCATAACTGAATTCTTCCCCCAACTGGCCTATTAGCTCCTAAGTAATGACACTTGAGTATCTTTTTACTTTTTCCACAAGAACAGTATTGAGTACATTATAATTGTCTAAGGAAAAAAGCAAGAATAAACATGTTAATAATTACACCAATAGTCTGGACATGGTGGCGCACAGCTGTAATCCCAGTGCTGGGGAAGCTGAAAACAGAAGGATCACTAGCTGCATAGCGAGACCCAAATACATAAATGAAAATAAAATAAAATAAATACACTGAGCACTTCTGCATGTTATCTCTTTAATAAACTTTTTGAAGTTTATATTTTATTATCTCCTATATGAGGAAATATGCTATGCTAAGGCCTATATGTTATTACTTACCCAAGTTACACAGATGTTGAAAGCAGGACTAGATACTCTATCTCCTGAGTTCTGATACGAGGATTACCATGCATATCTAATTACCAATTACACAGTTAATTTGTTGGGCAATTCAATGACACCAGCTCCAGACTTCAACTCTTCTTTGCTGCCAGACCAAAAGAGCTGTTGGGCTTCTTTTTTGCTTTATTTTGTCCACATAACGAGTGCAACCAGGTGTCATGATGCACATCTGTATGTAATCCCAGCACTCAAGAGGCTGAGGCACAAAGATGACTATGAATTCAAGGCCAGCCTTGACTATATATAGTGAGTTCAAGGCCAGACTGGACTACCTAGTAAGACTCTGTGAAAAAAAAAAAAAAAAAAAGCCAAGGAACTTCTGAAATCCTTCCTAAATGGACTATATAGAAAAAAAAATAGGCTAAAGAAAGGGCCTTTTAGGGTAAAAAATAAACAGGGTACAAATATATATATATATATATATCCTTCATCATCAGAACCATCCATTAAGACT